ATGCTCTACCAACTGAGCTACCTCCCTGCCGGCCATTCCCTCCCCTTAAGTTTAGGCTTTAGCTCAGAAATCTTAAGGTTAGGCATTCACTCCGAATGGTTAAGGTAAGGGTTAAGGTTTGGGATAGGCTTAAAACAAAAATCTCAAAAACAACTTTCTATTGCTGGATTTGAACTTGCAACCTTTGGAATCTGCCGTCCCTGTCCACAACACCTACGCAAAACAGAAACCTAGTTTAACGTAACAGCACTCACTGTTGCCCCTAGTGGCCGGTTTCCCCATAATCTCCCAACGTCCTCAGACATGGGATGTGTTAAACAGCTGTAGTAGGAGTGGCATTTCAAACAACAACATAAATACGCGCACACACTAAACGCTGCCTGTCTGCGTCCACCAAGGTGAACTTGATCATAGCCCGAGGGCCTGTAGTTCTGAATACAGGCTGCAGCCATGTGAAGGTGTTATTAATCGCATCTGCTACAAGACCATGGTGCTTGCCTACGGAGCTGTGAGGGGAACGGCACCTCCGTACCTTCAGGCTCTGATCAGTCCCTACACACAAACGAGGGCACTGCGTTCATCCACCTCTGGCCTGCTGGCTCCCCTATCTCTGCGGAAGCATAGTTCCTGCTCAGCCCAGTCAAAACTGTTCGCTGCTCTGGCACCCCAATGGTGGAACAAGCTCCCTCACGACGCCAGGACAGCGGAGTCACTCACCACCTTCCGGAGACATTTGAAACCCCACCTCTTTAAGGAATACCTGGGATAGGATAAAGTAATCCTTCTACCCCCCCTTTACTCCAAAAAAAACAACAACAAAAAAAAAACATTGTAAAGTGGTTATCCCACTGGCTATAAGGTGAATGCACCTATTTGTAAGTCGCTCTGGATAAGAGCGTCTGCTAAATGATGTAAATGTAAATGTAATTAATTAATGAGGAAGCCTGTGCCTCCTCGCTACAGAATGGGAAATTAGTCTTCTTCCAGTCTAAAATACCCCCACTGAGAACTAGACACTGTTCAATTATGAGAACAGTCAAAGTGAATAAATGAGGAGACAGCAACTTCATGAAATACTTTGCAGTGCTGAGATAATGCCATTTATAATTGCTTCATACAGAGACTTGACTTTTTTTTGTCATTTAGCAGACACTCTTATACAGAGCGATTAGGGTTAAGTGCCTTGCTCAAGGGCACATCGACAGATTTTTCACCTAGTCGGCTCGGGGATTAGAACCAGTGACCTTTCGGTTACTGGCACAACGCTCTTAACCACTAAGCTACCTGCCACCCCTCCAGATATTCATCAGGACTTTACCTTGATAAATGTTATATTTTAGTTATTTTTGTATCTCTCTCTCTCTCTCTCTCGCTCTCTCTCTCTCTCTCTCTCTCTCTCTCTCTCTCTCTCTCTCTCTCTCTCTCTCTCTCTCTCTCTCTCTCTCTCTCTCTCTCTCTCTCTATATATATAATATATAATAATATATATATATATATATATATATCTGTCTCTTCTCTCTCAGTCCCTCTCTTTCTCTCATTTTCTCTCTCTACTCTCTTTCACAGAGGGGTCCCTAAAAAGCATTAAAACTTAATGATTGTTATTTTATTTGGTCATGCGTTTTGCTGGAATATCTGTTTGACATTTGACAGTAGGTTCTACAGTATCTGTGTAATTATTCGATCAATAATAGGCCTACTGTGCAAAGAAAGGCTGTCTATTCAGCTGCTCTATTCAATAGTGGGGTGTGTAGAGTCCTCTATGCTTCACTGTGTGTAACAGAAGGCATAGCAAAGCCCACACAGCTCAATAACTTACCCATAGCCTTGACTCACACGGAGTATTTGTCCAATCAGCATTGGAGAGAGAGAATATTATATTGACTGCAAGGATACAAGATTTAAATACAATTAAATTAAAATATATTGACTTTAGAATTTCATCAACATACATTATGTCCCTTTTAGAAGAGCGTGTAAGCAGACATCGTTCATATATTTGGATTTATAAGACAGCCATCACCACACAATGTTCCCTTCAGAGTCGATAGGAGGGGAAGAAAAGAGGGTCTGGAATATAGTCATATATTAAGCCTCTTGTGAATAAACCTTCAAGGTGTACTGTGCTATGCTTGTTCAATTTGTACCACGGCATCTGAATTTGAACCGCCAGCTTTTGATTGATTTAGATGTATTAATTTATTCTGTGTATTATTGCCAGGGCTTCATAAGGGCCTCCCTTTCTTGTTAAATGGGCTTTACTAAATATATGAGGTAATTCATCACTGGGATTATAGACGGAGAAACTCAAACTCCACTCTCGTCTGTGTGTGTGTGTTTGTGTGTGTGCGTGCGTGCTTGTGCGTGCATGCGTGTGTGTTTTAAAAGCGGGTAATTTGTGGCAGACAGCCCATCTTCTGAAAAGAGCCAGTATGACAGGGGCCATTTTGACAGAGTCATAATAATGATAATGACGCTCTCATCGAGGGGCCACAGTCCCATCATCATCAGAGTGCTGCCTGCCTGACATTAATATATGCAAGAACAAGTAACTGAATTAGAACACTGGTCCTGTAGGGGTTTATATCACAGCATTGTGAGCACAGACATCCCAGCCCATTTCCTTCTGTCACTACAAATCATAAAGATCCTTAAGGAAATTGAACTACGTTTTGCATAGCAAGTGGAACTACTGTGCTAATTCAAGTGGACCTACTAAAACATTTTCCATGGCAAACCAACCACTCCAGGCATGTTCACTGCTTTGGAATATGGCTGGTAGGTTTTGATATGGTGCACTAGTGCAGTCACAGTGACATAACCTGGCAAGCTGCGACAGAGTGGAGTGTTCTAGTGTTCTTGGACTGTTCTAGTTGGTTGCCAATAGTGTTTGATTAGAGAGAGCAGCACAAAGGGCCCCACTCCACTGACTGATCTCATTAACCTTAAGGTGCTTGTATTTATCCCCAGGCACTTTCTGTTCCCCTTTTTCTTATATGGTATTGCCCCGGCCCCCTAGAGACACACACACACAATTTATGGTTCATTGTTGCTAATTGTAAATTGTAAATTGATTCACCCTTCCTCCTGTCTCTCTCTAATTTTATTTCTCTCTCTTTCTCTCTCTCTATCTCTCGCTCTCTCTTCTTCAAACTGCTTTGTGTGTTTGTTTGAGTCCATGTTGGAATGCTAGCTGGATGATGACATGTCGTCCAGAGGATGTTTGTTTAGGTCACAAGTTTCTATGTCAAACATCTGCTTCTCATAGAGCTACCAATGAATCCCATTTCCTAAATCCCCTGTCATGTTTAGAGAGAAGGATTAGCTTTGTGTTGCCCTGGAAACTCCCCCCACAGTTGTGTTTGATAGTGTGTGTGTGTGTGTGTGTGTGTGTGTGTGTGTGTCTGTCCTCCTGACTCCACAAGCAGAAAATCACTTCAGCTAATATCAAACAACTGTCTGTGAGATCAACTGTATGTCCTCTACTGACTGGAATAGGTTTGAGATGTGTTTCTGTGGTTTTAATTAGCCTGCATGGGAACGGCTGGCTCCTAAATATCTGAGCTAATCCATCAGCTATGCAAATCGTGATTCCAATTTAGAGAGATGCCGTCCAGAGGCAGTTTCCATCATGGCTTTCTTCTTCATTCTTTTTATTTTCTAATACAGAAAACTGATACCGTGATTTTATGTTTTCTTCAACATTTGTATCGATTTAATTTGTATCAACCTGCACCATAAACCCTAATTAACAATGTACAAATGTAGGTTAGAGAATGAAATAAGTGTCTGTGGGGATAGCAGATGCTTACAATGCTGTCCAGAAGGATATTCTAGGCATGACTGTATGTTTAAAATTAGCTTCAGACATGATTTCCTGTCCTCTGTGATCGGATGGTGTGGAAACCTTCCCTGGGTAAATACACACATCAATAGTAAAGATGCAGAACAGGCACAAGGGATTGATAGAGAGGCTGGTATTGAAAACCTATATGTTTTCTTTTCATGCACACCCCAAGGGAATAAAGGAAGGTTGGTTGTTTATTAAAGGGGTAATATCATCTGGTAAGCTATCATGACTGGGTGTTATAGCTGCTCCCATTGTTATTTAATATGCACTGTGAAGTTTAAGGACTGAAGACATAATGAATACAACGACCATTACTAAAACATTACTTAGCTGTCAATAAAATGTGTTTGTAAACTTGGTACATACTGATAAACTCTCTCCTTTAAATTTCATGAAAATAGTATTTATCAATAGATCTACAATGTAGCCTGTAGAAGCTCTCTGTTCTTCCCTGTGATTTCTTAACACAGGATGGCGCCCTCATCTTTAGGTAAAGAATACAACCTCATTCTCATGGGAAAAAAGGCACACCCATTGCATACCATATCTGTCTTAATAAACATGACGTAATTGCCTAATGAATTGTTAATAAAACGTAATTAAGAGGTGCGAATTGCACGAATGTTTTTCCCATTTGAATTGCAAATCAGATTTTACAGTAGGCCTAGCCTAGTCTGATAATGTACCACACCTTTTCCAAACACCAGACGGGTAAATGTTCATTAAATAGTTGTATGAAAATGTATGCACTCACTAACTGTAAGTCGCTCTGGATAAGAGAGTCTGCTAAATGACTAAAATGTAAATGTCAAATGTTTTTGCATTTATTGTCATCGATTGATTTATAGTTCATATGTAGGCCTACTAAAGATTCAATAGCCACAAGGCTGACAGCAGAATCTCAGCTCTTTAAGTTATTAGCCTACTTGCAATTGTTAGGCGAATTATATTTAATAAAGCACATTTTATATCTGGAAGAAGATTAAAGGAATCATATATTAAGTGTGTAACTCCAAGTTATTATTATTTTATATCACATAAAGGGGAAGGGTAGATCAATTAGGGAGAAAGGTAGGACTGGCAGGCACTAAGACATGTTACTACCACGGAGAAAGTAGATGGGTCTCCAAAGAGAGACGTGGTCCCACACTACTCACCACTATCCTCAGAACAGTGGAGCTGCTTGCCAGAGAAGCATCTACATCTTGCCTACCTGACATTACATTTAAACTTTTGATTATGCAACTTTTTCTGATTTCTGCAAACTGAAAAGCACTAAGATTTATCGCTTCATCTTGGAGAGCGCGACGGTGTTTGAATAACAAACGGACCAGTTTTTACGCACGCAATTTGTGTCCAGTGTATGCAGGTTGTTGGGATAGCCGCTCCAACAGACAGAAAAGTTATGGATAAGTCGTTTAGTGGTCTGGAAGATTAGACCATGGTATGTGCGTCCACAGATCAATGTTTTTGATGCGCGTCATGATTTTCTAGGCTCTTCACAGTGAATGTATGTGGCCCGCTGTTGCCAGTTACATGTTGTAAATAATCGCTTCTTGGATATGGATACAATGAAACAAACAGCTGCTGTTGCAGAGATACTGGCCTCCAAGGATTGCACATTACAGTTGCGGGAAAGGAGACAATGCGATAAGCACTCTCGGGAAAGAATAGAGGCAGAGATGGATCGGGTGCGAACTCGGGAGAGATTGGAAGCCACTCTAGCGGGTCTCGGAGAGCTGGAATACTTGAGACAGCGACAGGAATTACTGGTCAGAAATGTGTTGAATCACCAGGAGTATTCTATACCAACAGAAGATCCAATGTGCGTTACCCGTGAGGAGAATTACTTGAACTCGGAGGAAAAACTTCTAGAAGAAAATATTTTATTGCTAAGAAAACAGCTGGTATGTAGACTGAATATAAAGTCATGTATTTATTCCACCAAAGTGTTTTGGATAACATTAATACTTATCATCATAATTAGGCTGAGTTTTATTTGCATCCGTTATATTTTATAAACTAATATTTTGGTTAGCCTACATTTCAAAAGCTGTCGTGGTTAAGGGCTTGTAAGTAAGCATTTCACGGTAAGGTCTACACCTGTTGTTTTCGGCGCATGTGACAAATACAATTTGATTTGATTTGAAATACAAGTCACTCTATTAGTGTGTCGTTGGATTGAGTCCATCCGAATTGTTAAACAAGAGGTCTATTTTCTGACTGAGTCGCAGCTCCAGTCCATTCACGTCCAGGGAAAATGAGAACATAGCGGAACATAGCCAAGACAAGCCTACTGATAAAAGTTGGCGACGTTGTTTGCTTCGCCAGGCAGGCGCAGACAAGAGGTGCGAAGTCTGTGAAAGGTTGAGGGATATGTCTATGATAAAGGTTTACAATAAAAAAACAGCCCTGTAAATTAGATTTCCAGAATCATTTTATAATTGTGGCCCTTTAGTAGCATATGACCAGCTGTAGCCTTTTTTCACTCACTCACAGATAAAATCATGGATACATTTGTAACCTAATATTTTGGAAAAGTTCTATGTAATTATTTTCTTCTGATTACAATAAATGAACGATTCCATTAGATCGATCTGGCATTATAAACCAATGCAAGCAATTGGGCGTCCAAAGGCCGAAGTTCGCACAGAAATGGAGAGAATAGCAAGATGGCTATTAGAAAGGAATGAGTGTTATTTAAATCAAACTTCCTGAAGGGAGAAGGAAACTCCTGATGTACTCATGTGGTCTGCGAGGGGGTCCAGCCGCTTGAATGAGATTTACTGATGAGTTACAATGGATGGGGAGACTGAAATGAACTTTTGCAAGCAGATCTCCCACCCCCTGCTGCTGTTAAAGGATGCCAGGGAGTTATTGGCTGGTTGTTTGAGATTAGGCCATTTAAACCGACCAAAATACACCTGGGTTCAATTAGGCAGAAAGGCAGTAAGGGCAAAAATCATGAATGGACTCAGTATTAAAATGTATTGGGAAAAAGTTGCAATTGTTGTATTATACCCTAACCCCATAGGGTTTATTGTAGGCCTAAATTAAATCAGATTGGTTTTCAAATTCATTCTATCATTACAGACCATTTCCCTCTCAGCCTACACAGACATTCCCTAGTAAAATACCATTTTGACATTTACACATTCTCACTGGTTTGTTAAATTACCCTGTCAACCCAGTGGGGGGATAATTTTATTCAGCAAAACAACCATTGGTCTGCCTCTGCTAGAGATGCCTTTCCCAAATGGTACTTTGTGTGGAAATGTTTTCTGAAGCCATAGCATGCTCAGAGCACATTAATCACCCTCTGCCTCCTGTCAGAGGCCTGGTTTTATGGCCTGCCAATCTGCTGCAGAGAGAGAAGAGAGAGAGGAAGTGTTGCAGCTCAATATAGCCTGGAGTGTGTGTGTGTGTGTCATTACTAGCCTCAGTCATGGAGCAAATGGTAGCTAAAATGCATAATGCACAGGGGACAGGCCTCCTGAGATGGCTACCGCCTATATCTGTTGCCACATAATTGTCACAAATGTAGTGAATGTAAATAGGGTCTGACTGTCACTGAGCCTTCAGGGTTGACATTTTCAGTTGGTCTTTGAATTCAAACCACACTCTAGAGCGGAATGGTGGAATGGAACCACCACATGATCTGGGTGATGTCATGTATGACCCTGGCTGTTCCACATAACCCGCATGTTTGATCGAGGAATTGTTTTGCTCCCACAAGACGTGATTCTAATTTAGTTGGGATACTAATGGGTTTTGATAGGGCGACATGGTCTCGCCAAGATGTTGAAGACTTGCAGCACAGTAACTAGAGGCTTACTTTCAATGACCAACATTCAAGGCTATAGAATTAATCAGAAATGTAACCAAAAATAAGGAGATAAACATTCTGTTGCTATACAGAACAACACTAAGGATTAAGCTATAATAATAATAATAATAATAATAATAATAATTTGGTGGGTGCTTATATTTGTCCTATTTCACACATGTACAACTCAGTGGCCTTGTGGTTAGTGTCCGCCCTGAGATTGGAAGGTAGGGAGTTCGATCCCCGGCAGTGTCATACCAAAGACTGTAAAAATGGGACTCAATGCGTCTCTGCTTGGCACTCAGCATTAAGGAGATAGGTTGGGGGTAAGGCCACTTACTTACAAGTGTGTATTAATATGCATGTGTGAATTGGAAATGTGATTTTTGCATATCCCAACTCTCCCTGAGACACCCTCAGTGGGGCCAGCTGTAGATGTCATAGGCATAACTAGCTGTAGTCCAGGGCTGAAGGCAAGCTGCACTAACGCCCTGGACAAGAGCTAAGGCAGAACTAACTGTACTTGCTGTACAACTGTAACTAACTGTGTTACCTGTGTGTGTGTTTCCCTCCAGAACTGCCTGAGAAGGAGAGATGCTGGTTTGATCAATCAGCTGCAGGAGCTGGACAGGCAGATCAGTGACCTCCGATTGGACACTGAGGTGTCACGTGAGCATGTGGAGACAGACAGCCGCCCAAGCTCAGGTTAGTCTGGTTCTACAATAGAATTAGAATGGATTCTAAAGGTTCTACCTCAGAATGTTACCCTGTGAAAACTAGACATGATTAGTAGTATCTGTCAACTGAGTCATTTCAACTTAACTGAAGTAATTGAGGATACTGCAAAACGTGTAATCCCCCAAAGGTATAGGGTTTTTAACACAGGGGTTCTCAAATGAGGTCCATGGACCGATCTAAAAATATATAACAAATATATATATTATTAGGTACACCCGTCTAGTACCGGGTTGGACCCCCCCCTTTGCCTCCAGAACAGCTACAGATATGCTGTGGTGTTCAATCGTTGCTCCGTTGGTATCAAGGGACCTAATGTGTGCCAGGAAAACATTCCCACACCATTACACCACCGCCACCAGCCTGTACCATTGACACCAGGCAGAATGGGGCCATGGACTTATGCTACTTACGCCAAATCCTGACTCTGCTATCAGCATGACACAACAGGAACCGGGATTCGTCGGACCAGGCAATGTTTCTCCACTCCTAATTTGTCCAGTGTTGGTGATTGCCTTCCCACTGGAGCTGCTGCTTCTTGTTTTTAGCTGATAGGAGTGGAACCAGGTGTGGTCGTCTGCTGCAATAGCCCATCCGTGACAAGGATCGACGAGTTGTGCGTTCCGAGATGCCGTTCTGCACACCACTGTTGTACAGCGCCGTTATTTGCCTGTTTGTGGCCCGCCTGTTAGCTTGCACGATTCTTGCCATTATCCTTTCACCTCTCTCATCAAAGAGCTGTTTTCGCACACAGGACTGCCGCTGACTGGATGTTTTTTGTTGGTCGCACCACTCTCGTTAAACCCTAGACACTGTCGTGCGTAGAAGGCCCAGGAGGCCGGTCGTTTCTGAGATACTGGAACCGGCGCGCCTGGCACCGACGATCATACCACGCTCAAAGTCACTTAGGTCACTCGTTTTGCCCATTCTAATGATTAATCTAACAGTAACTGAATGCCTCAATGCCTGTTTGTCTGCTTTATATAGCAAGCCACGTGACTCACTGTCTGTAGAAGCGAAACATTTTCGTGAATGGGGTGGTGTACATAATAAAATATTTAACATTTCATTTTTTTAAATGAATATTACTAACAACAGATTAAACAAATGTTGGCCAAAGGATCCGTGGAATAAGTTGATAGGGTGTAATATAATGTAATTATATATTTATTTATTTATTTATTATTGGGCATACAATAACAATTTCATTCTAATGGTGCAGCCTTCTTATTGGTCAACAAAAGACGGACCGTTTCTTGTTGTCAAATTAACTGGGGCAAGCTTCAAACATGTAGAAATCGCTCAGCCCCAGTCAATTTGACAACAAGAGACGTTTGTCTTTTGTTGACCAATATGAAGGCTGAACCATTAGTTTCACAATATTTTTCCACAAAAAATTGCATTCTATCATTCCACCATTCCACATATTCACAGTACTCCACCAATTATGCATTTTCCAACTCAATACTTCTTGTATTCCCCTTAAAAAAATGTGAACATAAATGCACTGCAATTCAAGCTTCAAAACGGTTTCCTCAAAATGTGTAGAAATGCAGGATGTTAGCCTTAAAGCTGCAACAACAAAAATAGTCTCTGCCCCATGACAAAATGTGTAGAATTGCAGGAAATTAGCTTGAAGACTGGGTTCCCAGGGTCCAAGACTTGGTTTGTCAGGCCATGCACTGCCAAAGTCATAGTAAAACTCCTTGTATGATATTTTTATCTCACTCGAGTTGTGTTCTGATTTGATGGGGTCCCTGATGAATTTACTATCACAAAAGGGGTCTCCGGCCACAAAGTTTGAGAACCCCTGTCTTAGCAAATAAACACAAACATGACATAGAAATGACTGGCAATGCAAAAAAGATATATAGTTTTAAATGGGCAACAATCTCACACAGAGAATTAGCATTCCACCAGTCAAGCGTGCCAAGAAATTACAGAGCGGATGTAGGGTATGCTATGCTGCAAATAGAAGAAACGTTCATCTAGTCTAATATAAACCCCATCTACACAAAAAGCCTTGTTTTCTAAGTGCTTGAGATTTTCTGCCTTAATTCTTTTAATAGCCGCAGCCTGTCATGTAATAAATTGCTGGACGACAGCTTCCTCCGTGCGGCGTGTAAAATCAATGTGTTAAAATGTTCCCTTCTGTTTCTCTGCCCTCTCTCTCTGTGTCGCTCTCTCTCTCTCTCTCTGTCTCTCTCTCTCCAGGCTTTTACGAGCTGAGCGACGGCGCTTCAGGGTCGCTCTCCAACTCATCCAACTCGGTGTTCAGCGAGTGTTTGTCCAGCTGTCGCTCCAGCACCTGTTTCTGCAGTCCCCTCGACACATCGCTGTGTGCCTCCGAGGGAAGGCTCAAATCTGCAGGTGAGGGAGAAGCCTCCACACCACAGCCCCCGTAGCACTAGGGTTTGGGCCAATTCCATTTCAATTCGGTTATTTCAGGAAGTAAAATGAAATGCAGCATAAGACAGCACAGCACAACATAGACCCCCATAGCACAGCCTCCCATAGCACAGTCTAGGCCACCACTGCACAGCCTAGCCTAACATAGGACAGCACAGCAAAGCCTAGGGCCCATGGAAATGACATGGTCCTGGTGTTTTATGTCACATGGTCTGTCTAGGGAGCAACAAACAGGCTGAATCCTTTTGTTGTCCTTTGCTGTGTAAACACACACTCTTTCCTTCTTTCCCCAAAGACCCCCGTCAGGCTGTCACACCCCCCCACCATCTATCCACTTAACTTGGGTCTCAGTGTCGTCTTTTAGTTCAATGCTCCATTCCAGCTGGCCCCAGTTCAACTTCTAATAGTTTCCTTGGTGTCATTGCCATTAGTGGGGTTTGTTGTGACAACACTTTGATTAAGTTTCAAACGAGCGATAGAAAAAAAAAGAGTAGGAAGGAAACACAAAACACTATTGATGTCCAAATGGCACCCTTTTCCCTACATAGTGCACCAGAGCACTATAGGCCCTTGTCAAAAGTAGTGTACTATATAGGGAATAGGGTGTCATTTGGGACATGGCTACTGTCAGTTGAGCTAGATTCCCAGCCAGGCCAGGCAGATGGCTCAGCTCTAACTAACAGCCACTTATGATGATAAGACACAAACAGAAGGTCCATTAACACGTCCAAACCAACTGCCCCCTTCGTTAGCATGTTGAGAGGATGCTTTGCTTTGCTTCACCCTGTCAACACTACATGCCTACTGTAAGCTTCTGTGTGGCATTATTGTTGAAACTAGGAAATGGTATGGAAACTGGTGGTATCTGTTGTTTTATACCATGGATGCGCAACTTGTAGGCCCGCAGATCAACTTCCAGTCGGGGGGGACTCAGTCGGGATCTCAACTTAATGTTGAGAGTTAGAATAGTATAATACACAAGGTGCAATTTTCACGCAGATATCATATTCAAAACTGCAAACATTTCTCTCCACCCTATGGCAAAATGAGTCGAATTGCAAGAAACTTGCTTTAAAACAACGACATTTTCTCTACGCCCCATGGCAAAATGTGGAGAACTCCATTTTTTAAATAATTATCCGCTGTCAAGAGGGGGGCCGCTAAAATGTTTTACCATCACGGTTTTATACTGTAGTCGTGTGTGGTTTCCATATGAATGACTAGTGGTGTATCTGTTGTTCTGGAGTCCTTATATTCTGTCTCCTGTCTGGTTTTCAGATGAGCTGGGCAGCTGTGCTGAGTGCGAGGGCCAGTGTGAGGAGCAGCAGATGACAGGAACAGTCAGGAGGTCCCTCTCCGCTACCTACTCCCCCTCTACAGACACCTCCTCCACTCAGGACATCCAGTCCAAGTACCACTGTGACCTGATCGCCAAGAACGGCAGTGACGTGTATCGCTATCCCAGCCCCCTCCACGCCGTGGCCGTACAGAGCCCCATCTTCTTACAGTCTCTGGCCGGCCACATCAAAGAGGACGGAGGGCTGTCAAAGAGCACCGGCTGCAGCGAGGGCTCCGGTGACTGTCAGAAACTGGAGCAGCAGCCTATTCTGGTGCCCCAGAGCACTTCCTGGTCTGCCTCCCACTCACTCGCTAATAAACGACTGGACAATTATATCTTCGGCCTGCTTCAGAGGAGGGCGCAGCCCATGAGGACCAACAAGCCGCGGACGAGCATCAGCACAGACCCCTCCAAGAGCATCCTAAGGCAAGGTAGTCTGTGTGTGAGGCAGGCTAGTGTTAGCCAGCAGCCACAGGGACTGTGGACTGCTCCTGTTCCTGACCTCAAACCAGCCTGGCAGACGTGTTTACATGCAGGAGGTGCCAGTAACAATGATCCAGGAACAGGCTCCCAACAGAGACAGTGGTCAGTGGAGAGCAAAGGGGAAATCCTCTTAGAAAATGGGATTGTGTCCCAGTCTTTGGGCCAACCTCAGAACGGATATGCCACAATCAACAGCAGTGACATTCACATCAACAGTCTGGTGACCACCAACAGTCTGGTGAAAAAGAAGGCATCAACCAATAAAGGACTTCCATCGTCGACCGGTCCTCTGTCTAAGGATTACCAAGACCTGGGCGCCCCTAATGCCAACTCCTCCCCCAAAGAGAGAAAGCAATCTTATTTCCCTGCTGCTCCAGAGGAAATCAGTACTAAACCCTCCCAGACACTGCCAAGAGACCTCACCAAAACAGGCACTCCCAAGAAAAGCCCTAAGAGCAACGCGGTCCAGACAGCCCAGAGCACTATGGAAAAGAGGCCAATGCTGGAGCTGGTGAGTCTGGGGTCTTCCTCCCAGAGCCAGGATGAGGGTCAGGGTCACATGGTCAATGCCCAGTACATCCCTGCCCAGAGGCAGGCCGTCAAGCTCCGCAAGGGGGGCAAGAACGTCAAGATTGTGAAGGTGAAGAGCGCCTCCCTGAAACCACACAGGGGGATGCACGCACACGCTGAGCCTGTGTCATCAGTGGCGGCAGGGACAAGGGAGACGGGTCACCGATCTGGAGGGTCTAGGAAGTCTCGTCAGCCTGAGGAGGTACAACATGTGCACAAAGTCTCCTCCAAGAGGGGGGCATCCTCCAGGGCCAAGCGCACCGTCCCAGCATCTATCCCCGAGGGCCGGGTCCTAGAGAAACACACGGCCATGGTGTCCACAACAAGGTCCACTGTGACCAGGCATCACAGCCACCATGGCAGGGAGGTGGTGGTGGCCAAGCCCAAGTACAAGCGGACAAGCGGACAGGACTACAACCGTGGAAGGTTGAGAGCCATCACTGAGGTGCCTTACGATGAGGCCCTCAGGAGAGCCCACCGCAGGCAGAAGAGGGAGCTCCTCGGCCAGGTCTCCACCACCACCACCACCACCACCATGTACCTGCCCTCCAACGTGCAGTTCACCAGCCCTTACGCCTACGTGGCCGGAAGCGACTCTGAGTACTCTGCAGAGTGCGCCTCGCTCTTCCATTCCACCATCATGGACACCAGTGAGGACGAGCAGAGCAACTACACCACCAACTGCTTCGGGGACAGCGAGTCCAGCCTGAGTGAGGTGGACTTTGTTGCGGAGAGCACTACCAGCAGTGACTCTGAGGAGAGCGGAGGGATGAACTGGCCCCAGTTTGCAGGGCAGGGTGCTGGGCCTCAGGAAGTAACCGCTGCCCAGGCTAAGGCCTTCGTCAAGATCAAGGCCTCTCACAACCTGAAGAAGAAGATCCTCCGCTTCCGTTCTGCGGGCTCGCTGAAACTGATGACGACTGTATAAGGGAGGGACTTTATGGTGTCGGGCAGGAAGCAGCGACTAAGCCAATCAAATTGGCTGCTCTCTCTCTGCCCAACAAGTGCCTAGGCTGATTTTCTTATTTACAGTAAGTCTCTGCTAAAGTCAGTCTCCGAGACATTTAAAGAAACATTTTAATTGGGTTGGTACAAAATGTCCAGCAGACTCCCTCTCCCTGCACTTTCTGACAAACATTGGACAGGGTGAAAAGCATCTGAGTAGCCCCATTATTTGGTTGTATGTAGCCATTTTTTGTATTTATTATGGACTTTACCCTTGCTATAGTACATGGCAAAAAATCTGTAAATGCTTTTAATGGTTCTGGTTTACTTTTTGGATTAAAGATATTTAAAACGTAATATATTTGGTTGGTACTTCTTGGATACATATTTGACTGATGATTGATGATTGAAGCATAGTATTACTTAAAAGTGGCTGTAAGGAATATTCATGCATATAAAGACGTAGTCTATTCTGAAAACTGACATGTTCCTACTTGAACTGCTGATGATACCATGGTAACGCTTTGATATATGTACACATAAGATCTGCATGAGCAACTGCTTTACCTTCATCTGTTGTTGATACCAAGTAGCTAGCTGTACATTGTCAATTGTTGTATAAAATGTCTGTGTGTTAATACTGGTACTTAACCTTTTTTATGCTTTATTAAATGTCTGCTTTAAAATCAATATTTGGTTGTCACCCCTTCTGAATTGTGCACTGAGGTAGCATAGTTTGTTGACAACTCGACATTATCATATTCAATGTGATCTTTCACTCAATTTTGTCTCAATAAATCAATGTAACTTGGACATTCTAGAACCTTATCTACCTTAGGTCATTCTACAGCATAGAAATATAATTGTATTTCTATGTTCTACAGTACTAATGCGTATTCCAGAACCTCACCACCTTCATATACTGAACAAAAATATAAACGGAACATGCAACAATTTCAACGATTTTTTTACTGAGTTACAGTTCAAATAAGGAAATCGGTTAATTTAAATAAATAAATTGGACCCTAATCTATGGATTTCACATGACTCTGCAGGGGCGCAGCCATGGGTGGGCTTGGGGGGGCATAGGCCCACCCATTGGGGAGCCAGGCCCAGCCAATCAGAATACGTTTTTCACCGCAAAAGGGCTTTATTACAGACATAAATATTCCTCATTTTCATCAGCTGTCTGGGTGGCTGGTCAGACGATCCCGCAGGTGAAGATGCCGGATGTGGAGGTCCTGGGCTGGCGTGGTTACACGTGGTCTGTGGTTGTGAGGCCGGTAGGACGTACTGCCAAATTCTCTAAAACGACGTTGGAGACGGCTTATGGTAGAGAAATTAGCATTAAAATCTCTGGCAACAGATCTGGTGGACATTCCTGCAGTCAGCATGCCAATTACACGTTCCCTCAAAACTTGGGACATCTGTGGCATTGTGTTGTGTGACAAAACTGCACATTTTAGAGTGGCCTTTTATTGTCCCCTGCACAAGGTGCACCTGTGTAATGATCATGCTGTTTAATCAGCTTCTTGATATGCCACACCTGTCAGGTGGATGGATTATCTTGGCAAAGGAGAAATACTCACTAACAGGGATGTAAACAAATGTGTGCACATAATCTGAGAGAAATAAGCTTTTTGTGCATATGGAAAAATTCTGGGATCTTTTATTTCAGCTCATGAAACATGGGACCAGCACTTTGCATGTTGCGTTTATATTTTTGTTCAGTATTTAGATCTTTCTAGAATCTCCAGTACTGAAGCGTTGCTTCAGATTCACAAATGACTTATAGACAACTAAACAAATAGTGTTTTCACTCCACATATTGGGCCGTATCACAGTCCTGTCTGTGTTTGTGCCCAGATGCTCTCTCTTTGGTGTGTCTGTCTCGCTCAAACGCTAAACTCACTGATCACGTCACAGTGTTAACATGACACCCTGTCTGTGTGTGACACTTAGGCAGTCAACCCTCTCAGGCTCAATATTCCAATCCACAACCTTGCCTGGCTACAAGAGGTGGGAGGAAAGACGGAAAAAATAAGTCAATTTTCAGCCGCTGTCTGGGATTTAATTAGTTACAGAAAATTGTATAGGATATTTATAGGGAGTGGGAGGATATGTACAAATGGCAGCAGTACTGTACATTATGCATTCACGTTTGACCTTCAGATTATTGTCGGCACCATGTCCTCAGGGCAAATATCATCCAGTTTACATGTTGAATTTTTCATATCTATATAACAACATGGAGTCAGGCAATGACACATGCAATTTGTAGTTTTCCAGTGACCCTCTTTCTCGTTACCCTGCAGAAATGAAAGCCAAGGTAGCGTGTGTGCGTGCGTTGGGTGTGCGTATGTCGGGTGTGCGTGCGTTGGGTGTGCGTGCGTGCGTGCGAACGTGTGTTCGGAATAGATAACAGGATAATTTCTGACCCGTTGTTTTGGGTCAGACATTGCTGCTTTGGGTTAGCTTTCATCCCAGTCACGTTAATATGCTTTGTTTAAACTTCCACATCTCTTATGAGATCCCGGCCCAACCAACAACACATGACTGTTACGTTGGGAATAATTGTTTTGTTTCTGGCTGTAAATTATTCCAAAAGTCATTCTCGATGGAGGCAAACTAATTCATGAAACCATGGCTGAGACCCAAATGGCACCCTGTTATTCCCTATGTCGCTACTTTCGACCAGTCAAGTGATTGTTAGTACACTATATAGGGTATAGGTTACAATTTAGGACGCAACCTCTGTTTCCATTTTAATAAGAGGTCCAAATTGACCCTTGTTTATAATGTAAAAAGAAGGGCAGCTCAAATTAAGAAGGGCTGTTTCCCAAATGGCACCCTATTCCCTATGTTGTGCACTACTTTGGCCCTGGTCAAATGTAGTACACTGCATAGGAAATAGGGTGCCATTTTGGACAAATCCAAGGATTTGTCTACAATAACTATGCATCGTGTCATAAAAGGTTTATATGTATAATAATTTATTTACATGATACAGTGAGGGAAAAAAGTATTTGATCCCCTGCTGATTTTGTATGTTTGCCCACTGACAAAGAAATGATCAGTCTATAATTTTAATGGTAGGTTTATTTGAACAGTGAGAGACAGAATAACAACAAAAAAATCCAGAAAAATGCATGTCAAAAATGTTATAAATTGATTTGCATTTTAATGAGGGAAATAAGTATTTGACCCCCTCTCAATCAGAAAGATCTCTGGCTCCCAGGTGTCTTTTATACAGGTAACGTGCTGAGATTAGGAGCACACTCTTAAAGAGAGTGCTCCTAATCTCAGCTTGTTACCTGTATAAAATACATCTGTCCACAAAAGCAATCAATCAATCAAATTCCAAACTCTCCACCATGGCCAAGACCAAAGAGCTCTCCAAGGATGTCAGGGACAAGATTGTAGACCTACACAAGGCTGGAATGGGCTACAAGACCATCGCCAAGCAGCTTGGTGAGAAGGTGACAACAGTTGGTGCGATTATTCGCAAATGGAAGAAACACAAAATAACTGTCAATCTCCTTCAGCCTGGGGCTCCATGCAAGATCTCACCTCATGGAGTTGCAATGATCATGAGAACGGTGAGGAATCAGCCCAGAACTACACGGGAGGATCTTGTCAATGATCTCAAGGCAGCTGGGACCATAGTCACCAAGAAAACAATTGGTAACACACTACGCCGTGAAGGACTGAAATCCTGCAGCTCCCGCAAGGTCCCCCTGCTCAAGAAAGCACATATACAGGCCCGTCTGAAGTTTTCCAATGAACATCTGAATGATTCAGAGGAGAACTGTGTGAAAGTGTTGTGGTCAGATGAGACCAAAATCGAGCTCTTTGGCATCAACTCAACTCGCTGTGTTTGGAGGAGGAGGAATGCTGCCTATGACCCCAAGAACACCATCCCTACATCAAACATGGAGGTGGAAGCATTATGCTTTGGGGGTGTTTTTCTGCTAAGGGGACAGGACAACTTCACCGCATCAAAGGGACGATGGACGGGGCCATGTACCGTCAAATCTTGGGTGAGAACCTCCTTCCCTCAGCCAGGGCATTGAAAATGGGTTGTGGATGGGTATTCCAGCATGACAATGACCCAAAACACACGGCCAAGGCAACAAAGGAGTGGCTCAAGAAGAAGCACATTAAGGTCCTGGAGTGGCCTAGCCAGTCTCCAAACCTTAATCCCATAGAAAATCTGTGGAGGGAGCTGAAGGTTCGAGTTGCCAAACGTCAGGCTCGAAACCTCAATGACTTGGAGAAGATCTGCAAAGAGGAGTGGGACAAAATCCCTCCTGAGATGTGTGCAAACCTGGTGGTCAACTACAAGAAACGTCTGACCTCTGTGATTGCCAATAAGGGTTTTGCCACCAAGTACTGTCATGTTTTGCAGAGGGGTCAAATACTTATTTCCCTCATTAAAATGCAAATCAATTTATAACATTTTTGACATGCGTTCTTCTGGATTTTTTGTTTGTTATTCTGTCTCTCACTGTTCAAATAAACCTACCATTAAAATTATAGACTGATAATGTCTTTGTCATTGGGCAAATGTACAAAATCAGCAGGGGATCAAATACTTTTTTCCCTCACTGTATATTGCATGTGTATAAGAACTAGTATATTAATTTAATTGTTCTATCGTCAGAGTCCAAACGCCTGAAAACAGCCGAGGGAAGTCTAACTAGTGTCTAAAACGAACATCTTGTACTAATCTCAAGTATGGTTTTCTACAACTATTTGTCTCGTAATTTCTTTGTGGTATCTCTAGGCTGTAAAATATGTCATTTACGAGCATTCATGGAGGTTAATTTTTTTTTTTTAATATATATGTTTTATTGTCACATACACCGGATAAGTGCAGTGAAATGTGTTGTTTTACAGGGTCAGCCATAGTAGTTCGGCGCCCCTAGGGTTAAGTGCCTTGCTCAAGGAAAAGTGAGTGAGTATACAGTTGTGCAATTAGTATCAACCACATATCATTACATTCCCTGTAACTGGTTCATAAAGAGTTCAATCCCAGCCACAAAAATGTCCTCCCAAAGTAGCTTTCATTTTTGTGGCTCAGACAGCAATAACACTGACACACCTAGCTTAATGTTGCAATAAAAACAAATACCATGCGACTAGATCGCAAATGCATTTAACTAATTGTAAACTTCCACTGCTTTAATGAGTCCAGCTGTAGGACCATGACACACAGCTAGATGTAGGGATATGTCTAGCTGTATTTAAAGTTTTCCTAATGTATTTGTAGTTTATCATATTATCGTCATCAGAACCTTGTTGTTGCAGTAATTTATGGGAGTTTCTATCACCTTTCCTTTTCTGGAAGTGTTATGAATTCTTCAATGTGAACATATCAAGAATGTCAACGCTTGGAACCAAGATGGCCTCCTAGTCAGGTGACCTATCAGGTGACCATCATTTCCCTATAAGGATGGCCGACAATAGCCCTCAAAACATTTCATGGTTTGGCAGCCATCGGAAGACTTAATCAAATCCCTCCTGGTGGTCTTGGCATAAGTGAATGTTATTGATGGGATATTCACTGTTTATTCTCATAGTTGAAGTTACCGACTTTCTATCATTACCAATCACCACTGATTTATCATAACCTTTGTTCAGACTAGCTCAGTACAAGTAGCTAAGGCCAGTTGCACTTGTGCGGTGCAGAGGTGGAGCATGTTCACTTCGGTAGCCTTAGCTCAAGGTCAACAGTCTCC